ATATATTTATATATATATATATATTTATATACAAATTTTAAATATAATTTATATATTTAAATATAATATTTATTTATATAATTTATTATAAATTTTAATTATATATACCCATAATTTATCATAAATTTTAATTACACATACTAAAATACTAGTTATGTATGTACCCAAAATGTTGATTATTCTATTGAGGGGTTACCTTAATTTCGTCATGTAAAGGTAGTAACCCTAGTCAATGTTTTAGATTTTTTTTTATTAGATTTGATCACTTTATGAACTCTCCAAATGATTAAATATTAAAAAAATTATTTAAGCTAAATGTATTTTAAGTTATTGATAAATTTTATATTAAATTGTATTTTTGTCTCTAATTTTACCTATCTATAATTTCAGCCTTTTATTTTAAAATAAAGACATTTAATTTTCTTATTTTTAAAAATATAAAATTTTGATCTTACTATTAATTTGATCTTCGTTGATCCTTAAATTTTAATGTTGTCTAGTGATATTTAGTGATGCGTTATATAAGGATAAAAAATAATATATAATTTTTTTTTCATTCATATATATTTTTACAAATTATTGGTATCTATTTTATTAATAAAATCTTATTTCATTTTTTTTCTTCTAAATATCATATGTTATTAAATATCATATCACTTAACTAAATGTTAAAACTTAACTATTAGTAGATGTCAATTTGATAAGAGGGTCAAAATTTTATATTTTTAAAATTAAAGAGACTAAATGTCTCTATTTTAAAATAGATTAACTAAAATTATAGATTGATGAAAATAGAGAAACTAAAAGTGTAATTTAACTTAAATCTTAATAATGAAAATTTTAATAAATTCAAAACTTATTAAAAATGTACTTATGCTACATCATTATTTTAATTTTAGATAATAAAATTTTAATTATGAATTTAAAATTTAAAAATATAATTAATTTGTTTTTGAGTTTTTTTATATTTGAGAATGAGAAGGACAAATAATAACAATTTATTTTGCAAAAAAATGTTTTCTTATCGGAGAAGAACAAATAATGAACTATCAAGATTAAAACACATAATATTTTTTTGAAGTTATGACAATTTTAAGCGATCACATGACTTTAAATCTTGATATGTATGTATGGTTATACGACTAAATTTTACTTATATATATATATATATATATATATATTAATAAGTATGTATAAGGCATATAGGATGAAGTACTAATTTGTACGAGAGAATGAAAGAGCTAGAAAAGAAGAATGACAAACAAGTGTTTAATGTTATCTTCTAATGAATTTGATACACAACATTGTATTAAAAACCAATCTTGTATGGAAGTGAATTAGCTAACTCATAATTGAGGGACTATAGATTTCAGATATACTAGCTAGGCAAGACTTCTGAAAAAAAAAAAAAGAGTTTTATTTGAATTGTATTGCTTATGATGAGAAGAAAATAACGAAAGCTAATAAAATTAGGAGCAATAGCCAATAGAGTCATCTAACAAAGCAACCAAAATTATTCACGCTATCTAATTAACCTTTCCATATATGTACATATAAAATGGCAAAAGCTCTAAAACCTCTAAGCTAATTATTTAAGATAAATTCATATAAGAAAAGGATAACTTAATTTGGCGAAACTAAACTTTCAAAATAATAACAAGAGAACTGCCAATCTCTGAAATCTTCAGTATGGTCTATTCTATTATATCTCCGATTATAGAGAACAACTTTGGAATTCCAGTAGTTTACCAGGAACACAACTTTATCAGTTTCAGACATGCAGACAAGCAAAGACATCACCACTGTACGAGGTGGAAAGTGATGAATTAAAAGATGCTCATAACTCACCTTCAACAACTGAGTCCAAGATTTTCCAACTCCAAATTTCTTCATTAGCCAAACAACAAAATGAGTTCTCTTATGAGTATGAGAAACACAAAGACAACCCTTTCAAAACACCAAGTTCAGGCTCAACAGGAGCAATTTCATAAAGGTCAGCAAGACCATCAGGCAACGAAAAATACTCGTAAGAAGTCTCTTTCTTTAGATCATATGAAAAAATTACTAACTGATTATACATGGCATTTCTCGATTCATAATCAAAACCCAACATGTCAAGTGCTAACCAGTTAAGAGTACCATTCACACACTGTCCAACGACTTGTCTAAGAATGGGAAAAGAAGGGTAAGTTAAAACATTTGTCCAATAAGTGTCACCCATGCAGTGAACTTTCACCTCACAATTTTGTGATATAATATTTGTTAAAATAGGTCAAATTATCTGAAAGGGACACACTTTATAAAATCAGCAAGAATGGCCTTTTAAAGGCCGAGTACATGAAATTCGAAATTCAAAAACGAAAAACTGATCCATCAATTCCGGATCCACAAAATATTTTATTTCTGATCTCGGCCAAAGACAGTCCGAGAATCTCGGATTCTCCTAACTAATCTTAAGTTTACCCAACAAAACCCTCCCGTAAACTTAAGTCTCACATTCTAACATTTTGGGCTTTTCAATTAAATATTCCGAGCTTCGTGTCCATCGTTCCGAGCTTCACCACTTGTCATTCCGAGCTGTTCTCTTAAGTCTTCAAATAACACTGTGGGCAGCGGTTTTGTAAACATGTCTGCTATCTGCTTCTTGCTCTCCACGTGTTCGAGTTCAACAACTCCTTCCTTTACCTTTTCTCGAATGAAATGATATCGAATATCAATATGTTTGCTTCGGTCATGACTTATCGGATTCTTGGCAAGCTCAATGGCCGATTTGTTGTCAATTCGGATTACCACCTTATCCTACTTTGAGATTTCAAGCTCCTTCAACAGATTTCTGAGCCAAGTTGCATGTTGGACAGTCCACGACGCTGCTATGTATTCTGTCTCACAGGTTGACAGAGTTACAATCGGTTGTTTCTTGGAGACCCAGGTGAATGTCGTGTTTCCCATGAAGAACACGTATCCCGATGTACTTCTCCGATCATCAATATCTCCACTCCAGTCACTGTCCGAGTATCCAACTAGCTGGAAACTGTCCGACTTTGTAAACATCAGTCCATACGACTGTGTTCCCTTTATGTATCTCAGAATCCTCTTCACAGCCTTCCAGTGGGAGTATCTCGGCTCCTCCATATATCGGCTAACTATTTCGACACTCAACATCAAGTCGGGTCTCGTGCTTGTCAAGTATCTCAGCTTTCCAATCACACTTCAATATATGTTGGCATCGACTCTGTCTCCTTCACCGAATTTGGATAGCTTCGTCCCAGGTTCCATAGGTGTTGAAACTGGATTGCACTCCATCATACTTGCATTCTTTAAAACTTCTTCAGCATATCTTCTTTGGGATACAAAGATCCCTGTCCTTGTTTGCTCCACTTCCAGACCCAAAAAATAGCTCATGGACCCAAGATCAGTCATCTCGAATTCCTTCATCATCACTTCCTTGAAATTTCTGACGAGTCCGACTTCATTTCCCATGAAAATTAAGTCGTCCACATATAGTGCAACAAGCAAGATATCTCGGCCACTCTTTTTCAGATAAAGAGCATGCTCATACGGACATTGGCAATATCCATTGTTCCGGAAGTAGGTATCAATTCTTTCGTTCCAAGCTCGGGGGGCCTGTCTTAGTCCATACAACACCTTCTTTAGCTTCAGGACCTTCTCTTCTTCTCCTCTTCTCATGTAGCCTAGCGGCTGCTCCACATATATCTCTTCTTTTTTTCGTCAATTGGGTTTTGAAACCAATGATCAAATAAGAACTCATCAATTACATTAATTGGAAACAACCTTGTAAAAATACTCAATCTTTGAGAAGGCGCCACATCCTACAACATCTAACTTTGCCTACTAAATCTAGAAAATTATATAAGGATAAGAATGTAAGATACTCATTTATTATTTTATTATAAATGAAATACAAATATTTTTAAAAGTAAAAGATTTCTTAATCCTCTATTTTTTTCCATAAAAGAAGTTCATATTTCCATATTGGTCATCTCCTTAACTAAGATTAATTACTAATAACCAACAATGCGTACAAAACAAACCCTTCTCAACCTTCTGTTTTTGCAATTGGATAAAATATATTCGAATAAAAAATAGTAAAATTTGTGCAATAGCAAAAATCATTTGAAGTAAAAGAAAATGTCATACAAGTAAGATAATAACTAGATGAGTCCATTACGATATTCTAATAGTCGTTATGCTAAATGCTTAAATATCTACTATTTCTGCTAAAAATTGGGCACAATCCTCCTACATAGATAATTATTAAATATTCAAAAATATTTTTAAGATTATTAAATATTATATAATATTAATTTTTTAAAATTATTAAATATTTAAAAATTTGCTAATATTTATTTTTATAAAATTTAATTTAAAAATTCTCGATATATAAATATATTTTTAAAATTAATTTTACCATGGTGAGATCAAATTATCATATCCAACCTAATAATTTAAAATTTGATAAATTTGAATTGACTTATCCAAACAAAATATTTTAAGAATGATAGAAAATGAAAACAAAGTAACTCAAATACAAAGAATTTAAAATCCCTTGAATTTGTAAAATTCTTTATCCAAACACACCATAAAATTAGAGCTAAACTCGTTCAAAAATAGCTCTCAATTATGAAATGGTTCATGTCCTTTCCCTTAAAATACGGACTCCCACCGTCATTTGCACAAGTTCCTGTGAAACAATAACTAGTTGGGCAGTGTCTAAAGACTTTAAACAGCTTAGAAGCACATCGGCTTTCAATAGCATCCTAAGCAACGTACTTTAAGAGACAAATTACACTCAACCTGAACCTGAACCTGAAGCGAAAGCGAAAGAGATGAATTTTGCCTGAATATTGAGGTAGAAGGCTCCTGTCACAGTATAAAAAATTAACAATACAGGCTGAGATTTACAAGAAAATCCAATGAATACATGTGTAGTGACAATGAAATTCACTGCCAATATTAGCACATCTTCACTTCAGGTATAATATGTATAATATAACAACGAGTGGACGTTTAAGATTTTCTGTAACTGCACACTGTGCATACCGGCATCCATAATGCCATGAATACAAGTTTTTACGAAAAAAGAGGGGAAATTAACTAGCCTGAATGTTCTCAAAACCTAACCTAAGCAGACATTCAAATCATGAGAGCCAAGTATCAGTCTGCCCGAGAGCCACTGCTACCTGCAGAAGATTTCTTACTGCCATACTTCTGCCAAATATTGAAAGAAATACTGCGTTATATTTCACCAAGAAAGGACACAAAAACAAAAGGAAATCTTACTTGTGCTGGACTTAAGGTACAAAGAAATAACAGTTGTTGCACAAGCAAGATAAATGATAGAAGGGCAATTTAAGCATAAGAAACTCAACCTGCTTCCCCAAGTTGAAGGGAATATATTTGTATTTGATCATGTGTGCAATTTGGCGCCTCATTGTAAGGACAAAGAGAACAAACCAGTAACAGAGTAATATGGGCCAAAAGACAGGAACATCAAATACGGAAAAGAAGGTCATTACAAAGGCTATGCAGAGAGCCTTGGTGAAGGAATACCTGCATCCATTACAAAAATTCACGCGCATGAATAGCAGCAACCACTCTGAGTAAATAAATTACTAATGCAAATGAACTCACACCACCAAAATCACTACTCATGACACAAGTTAATTTCAATTTATGGGAGAAATTTAAGGCCCTGTTTGAATAAAACATTTCAATATGCAGTTATATGAGAAATAACTTGGTTTTAACTAATGGAATAAGTTTAAGGTCTTGTTTGAATAAAGAAAAAAAAATCAATAAACAGTTATTGAAGAAAATAAGATGGTAAAAAGAATTAAAATTCTTCTACAAGTTAAAATTAGCTTATGGATAAGTTAAAACTAATTTCTAATGAGTTAATCACCTATACACTGCCAGTGTAAAGTTTTTTTACACTGGTAACCAATTATATCTTTTAATTGTGCCATGTCACTGTAAACACATTTACTTTTAACAGTGACATGACACAATTAAAAGATATAATTGGTTGCCAGTGTAAAAAAATTTTACATTGACAGTGTATAGGTAATTAACTCATTTCTAATTATTAGTCAAATGAGAGAGCTTTTGACTTATCCATTAGCTAATTTAACTTACGAAAAAAGTTTAATTCATTTTACTTTCTTATTTTCTTTTCCTATTACTAGAATTGTTTATTTAAAAGTTTATCTAAAAAGGACTTAAATAAGTTGCACAAACAACATAGTCGAAATCCTTATTTAAGGACCTCAGAATTTTCTCTACTATTCGGTTCTCAGGTACTGGTTCTCCGCTCCTCATCAGTTGGTTCGTCACCTTCTGTACCCGAGATACAAATTCGGTTATTGGTTCTCTGTCTTCCATCTTTAAATTTTCAAACTCTCCTCTGAGAGTTTGTAGCCGAATTTGCCTAACTCGGCTGCTTCCTCTATGGGCCACCTCCAATGTCTCCCACGCTTCTTTCGAATTCGCAGCGCTCCCAATCTTCTCAAAATCCAATTCGTCTACTGCATTATAGAGAAAATACAGAGCCGAGCTGTCCTTTGCTTGCATTTTTTCAAGCGTAGCTAATTGTGCCACCGTCAGTTCTTCTTCTTCCCCCAGTTCCTCATATCCCTTTTGCACAACCTCCCACAAACGTTGTGATCGCAGGAGTGCTTTCATTTGCAGAGACCAATTTTCATAATTGGTTTCCTGTGTCAATTGTGGCACCGTCATCCCGTTCACTACTTTCGACATTTTCTCACTCTTTCTGTATTTTCTCAGGCACTCAGATTGCAAGCTTTGATACCACTTTGTTAAAATAGGTCAAATTATCTGAAAGGGACTCACTTTATAAAATCATCAAGAATGGCCTTTTAAAGGCCGAGTACATGAAATTCGAAATTCAAAAACGAAAAACTGATCCGTTAATTCCGGATCCACAAAATATTTTATTTCTGATCTCGGCCAAAGACAGTCCGAGAATCTCGGATTCTCCTAACTAATCTTAAGTTTACCCAACAATATTGAAAAAGATCATCACCACCTTGTAACTGTTACTCCAATTATCGTACCCAAACCCCCACTTCTCCCAATTACTTGAATAGACTCGTAAGCGTGGAGAAGCATTGGACGTGATCCTTGTGACCGGGTTCCAAAATCGAACCCAGAATTCTAAAAAACTATCCCCTTTTACATAATCAAGCATGCAAACCAAGCCGTTGCAGGAAGCAAAGACAACGTTATTAGAGTTGATAAAGTAGCAACCACTATCAATAGGGGATGATAGATGCTCAAGATAACGACGTATATTGCATGGTGCAATGATGTAATCACGTGTTATATCGTTCTTCAGGGAGTGCTGCGCCAGGAGTCGTGGCCATTTCGTTCACTACATTCATTGCTCTTCCCAAACCCTACCACATATCTATCTATACTTATATACAAATTTAGGTCACGAAAGATAAGTTTTTACACGTGGCTATCACACAACCATTCACCCATTTAATAACTATTTAAAATTTAACTCTACAAGGAATAACTAAAATATTAAAGCAAAAGCACCACCAAATGGTAAATTTGTCCACATGTCAAAAACCTGGAACTTTTATGAAATATTTATGAATTTTTATGGTTCATTAATTACGAAACTCACGGGCATATTTTTGTATATAAAGTAATGAAGAAATTAATAGTCAGGCTTATTTATTTATTTATTGAATTTCATGAGCAATAGTCCATTTCGAGCATAGTAGACAAAAGGCACCTCAAAAAATTCAATCTAAAAATGTCATTTTAATCAATAATTAATATTATATTTTATAAAAAAAATTAAAACTAATGTATGAAATAGAATGAATTGTGGCGGTGGATACTCCAGGAACGAACCAAAAAAAAAAAAATAGAATGAATTGTACCAAAGATTTGACATTAGTTAATGAATTGAAGGTGTCTATTAATTTTACATTTTATTTCCTCCTCATGGGTGCATAATTAAAACCAAAATAAGGTTTAAAAGGATTGAAAGAAAATAAATAAATAAATAAATTCAGGTCTGAGAAACATTATTTTTTTCCAGAAAAAAATTTATATTCTTAATTACTTGAATATCGTGAAGTTTGATAAATTTTTGAATAACCGGTCATCCCTTTAAGAACTATTTGAGGTATGATATGAAGGTATTGTTCTATTTTGAGAGCAAAATCTTTCCATAGAGTACAATTAATGAAAATTTTCCTATTCTAATAAACAATAAAAAAACTAAGAGTGAATAAAATTATTTATTAAATAAATAACAATACTAGTAGATGTTTAATTTTTTTACTCTAAATAGTAGAAGACAATGTTAATTAGTTTTTTCTTCTGTCCATTTTTGTCAATGGTGCACGAATTTAATTAAAAATTGAAAATAATAATAAAATTGACTTAGTAATATGTATTCTCTTGTTGTGACAAGAATGTAAGAAAATGGCATGAAATCAAATTGGTCTTTTTGAATGGCTTCTACCTCAATTCTTGAGCAAATTGTGTCATTAATAAAATACAACTTCAAATTGTGATTTGTAATTTTAAATTTTAAATCATTTTCAACAATTAAAACGTTGTCAAACACATAACAATGTCCTTGTTGAAGAACATTATTTAATTTGTGTACTAATTTTTTCTTCACACAAACATGAATCTTTTTACTCCGTAAAATATGTACAATAAAAATTAAGTTGTTTAAAGAATTAAAAGTAAATAATAAAATATATTAGTAAGATGTAATATAAATTATATTGTATGATAAAAAAAATAAACTTTTTCATGTATAAAAAATATTTCAATGTTGTTAATTTCACCATGATATTTGAACTCTACAAATGTCTACAAATGAATGACACAATGAAAGTGTTGCCTATTCATTATTAAAAACTACTAGAATTTTCTAAAAGATTTATAATATAAGAAACAACTTAGGTCATTTTACTTGAAGACACAAATCAATAGGATTCAAAATTATCACACAATTAGAAACGGAATTATTATGAATAATAATGAAAAATTATAATATTACAAACACAAACAAAAATTCAAACGAAAAATTGAATCAAATATTACATTGATTCAAGATTTCAATCAACATGATAAATTTTTTACGATTCAATCTATAATTTGAATTCAATCAATCTGAATCAACACAAACGTAATCTAAATCTAAATCTATTGAATTTCATAAATATATGAAACGCAATTGTGATCTCACAATTTTTATAAAATTCAAGATAGATAAACGATTAATTTAGGCAATTTAAATTATTTTTGGTCTAAATCTAAATCTAAATCTAGATTTAAAATTAATCTTCAAATCTAATTCGAATCTATTAAAACAAAATTCATACTCATAGAGAATATAAAATAAATTTAAAATGAAGAAGAAAACAAAGAGAATTTGTACCATAAAAATAGATCAAAAACTCAAATTTTATCGTAATTCATATAATCTTGAATCAAATGAACGGACTAGCCACACATTTTCATCAAGATGTTGCAATTCTTTCATATAAAAAATGTAAAAAGAAAATTTCGAGAATGAGAAACTTGTAGAGAAAACAATTATAAAATCTGAAAAATAAGTGGAGTGTACATAATAAGTCTAACACCTATTAATAGAACAATATAGTGGACATAATCAATAAATATATATATATA